TCTTGGGTGGGGCAGCCAGTTCCCCAGGGACCCCTCACCCAGCGCTGAGATGTGCCCACCTCTTGGGTGGGGCAGCCAGTTCCCCAGGGACCCCTCACCCAGCGCTGAGATGCGCCCACCTCTGGGGCGGGGCAGCCAGTTCCCCAGGGACCCCTCACCCAGCGCTGAGATGCGCCCACCTCTGGAGTGGGGCGGTTGGTGACACAGACCCCTCGCCCAGCGCTGAGATGCAGCTACCTCTGGGGCAGGGCAGCTGGTTACCCAGAGGCTCTATTTAACCCTTACCTGACTGGGGCCGTGCTGGTGCAAATGCCTCGGGGGGCTCGGGGTGCATTAGCACGAAGGGCAGCTCCACAGACACATCGCTGTGGGAAGAGCGAAGGGGACAGTGAGGGGGGCAGGGAGTGGGGGGACTCGGGGGGTGGGTGGGGAGAACATGTGACCAGGTACTTACCCCCCCCGCGATACAACCAGCTTCACCTTCACCCGGTACGAGACCAGAATCCCCAGCACCTCCTTGTTCGCCCCCTCCTTGACTCTGAAACAGAGTGTGGGGTCAGCATGCGCCTGCCTCTGGGGCGGGGCGGCCGGTTACCTGGGGACCCCTCGCCCGGCGCTGAGATTCACCCGCCTCTGGGGCGGGGCGGCCGGTTACCCGGGGACCCCTCGCCCGGCGCGGAGATGCGCCCGCCGCTGGGGCGGGGCGGCCCGTTACCTGGGGACCCCTCGCCCGGCGCGGAGATGTGCCCGCCTCTGGGGCAGGGCGGCCGGTTCCCCAGGGCCCTGGCAATGGGTATAACCCCCCCCCGCCCTCGCTCACATGGTGCTGGAGGCCAGGTTGGTGTCCTCATGTTTGAGTTTCCCGTCCAGCGCCAGGCCCCGCTTCTCCCGGTTCTGGCTGAGCAGCGGCGTCAGGGTGTAAACGCGGCAGAACGTGGAGCTCGGCGACACCTGGTCACTGGGCGCACAGCAGGTGGGGGGTGAGGGGCTGGGTCCCCCCCGCCCCCCTGCCCCACCCAGCCCGGGACTCCCCTGAGCCAGGGACCCCCGAATGCACCCCCAGGCCACTCCCTGCTCCCCAAGCCAGGGACCCCCAATGCACCCCCGAGCACCCTCCCTGCCCCCTAACCAGGGACCCCCTTGCCCCCTCCCTGCCCTGAGCCAGGGACCCCCCCAATGCACCCCCCAGCCCCCTCCCTGCCCCCCCACGCCATGGACCTCCAATGCAGCCCCCAGCCAGGGACCCCCCAATGCACTCCCAGCCGCCCCCACCACTGGGGATCTCTGACACCCGGAGGGGGGGGACTGAGGCAGCAGATGGGGGGGTCGCGGGGGGGGGGTCACTCACTCTTGCTCGGTCTGGGCCACCGGACACTTGTACTGGGCTGTGCTGAAGAGGCAGATGTCTGCGTATTGCCGCACTGCAGGGGGGAGGGGGTGGTCAGGTTTGAGGGGGGGCTCAGGCAGCCCCCCAACACACTCCCCCCCAGGGTCATACACCCCCCCCGTGCTGGGGAGGTTATCCCCCCCTCAGGCACGACCCCCCCCCCCCAAGCACACAGCCTCGCCTACTCCCGCCAGCACAATTCCACCCCCGCCCCCAGACCCACCCGAAACCTTGATCTTCTTCACGCTCTTGCTGGAGTTGTTGGTCACGTGCACGTTCACGCTGATGGGCTCCCCGTGGTAATACAGCTGGGGGGGGACACACACCGGGGGAGTCAGTGCGAGGACCCCCCAGTCCCCTCACAGCCTCCCCCCGGACCCCCACCCGGCACACGTCCCGGCCCCCACGATCCCCCCAACCCGCCCGTCCCCTCCCCTGGATCCAGCCCCCCCAGCCCCCCACCCGGCACACGTCCCGGCCCCCACGATCCCCCCAACCCGCCCGTCCCCTCCCCTGGATCCAGCCCCCCCAGCCCCCCACCCGGCACACGTCCCGGCCCCCAGACTCCCCCCAACCCGCCCGTCCCCTCCCCTGGATCCAGCCCCCCCAGCCCCCCACCTCCTTGTCCAGCGAGGCCTCCAGGTGCAGGGAGCGATCCGACATGAGGAAGTGCCGGGTGGTCTCGGCCATGGGCTGGGGGCCCGGCTTCTCGGGCGCGTACTGCACCTTCCGGATCACCAGCCGCACCGAGTTCCTGGGGGGGACAGGAATCAGAGCCCGCCGGACTCCTGGGTTCTCTCCCCAGCTCGGAGAGGGGAGTGGGGGCTGGTGGGTTAGAGCAGGGGGCTGGGAGCCAGGACTCCTGGGTTCTCTGCCCAGCTCTGGAAGGGCAGTGGGGGCTGGTGGGTTAGAGCAGGGGGGGCTGGGAGCCAGGACTCCTGGGTTCTCTGCCCAGCTCTGGAAGGGCAGTGGGGGCTGGTGGGTTAGAGCAGGGGGGGCTGGGAGCCAGGACT